TGTGTGTGTATATATATATATATATATATATATATATATATATATATATATATATATATATATATACACACACACATATATAACATTAATAACCTTGTTCCCTTTACACACTTAAGTTTTATTAAAAATGTGATAAAATGTACTATTGGCTTATGATCTTGTTCTTCAAGATCTTCCAAATTAACTCCTAATATTTTCCATTTCTGCAATTTATGCTTAGTGAATGCTTTATCAAATTTACATTTTAATATATTACAAATTATTCATAAACTTAGACAAAGTTTATGATTTTATGTTTTTGTTTTGTAGGTGACAATGTGAAAGTGACAAAAACAGATGAAAGTACTTTCAAGCACTATAATAGATGTCATGCACCAGCGGTCCAGTAGAGAATGAGGGAAGGTTTCGCCTCTTTTCTTTGAATCGCTCTGGCATGAGGGCGGCTGTGTTACTGGCAAGCATTGTTGGCACTCTCCGTCCCAGACTCATGGAAGCAGTTCAAGACATAATTTAGAGGAGGAGGAAATCAAAGGTTCCTCAAGAGGCCATTAAAACATGTCAGCAGAACATCCTGCATTAGATTCCCACAGTCAAAACGAATTCAAGGTAAATCATGTAGTTTTGAAAGGCACATGAAATTGCTTCTATTGTATTTCTGTATTTATGGAGACGCATCCCTCATGTTTGCATGGGGCTATTTATAACTGTATGATTACAAAATAGTTTGACAGTCGTTTGTTTTGTTCTCTGGTGTAGCACAAAGACTTTTCACTGGAATTCAGCTGGAATTGATTTCAAAGGAAGGATTTTGCTTCACTTATGGAATTCTAGAAACAATAATTCTCCCATGAAAATCGCTTTGATTCTAGAACTGGGCTGAACTGTTGTCATTCATGCAACACTCATCCATCTATTTTTTCATTAAATGGTTTGCTTTTGGAATCATGTATTTGTTTACTTTCTAGTATTACTTCATTTTGAGACTATTATGATTCAAGAACATCTTTAAACTTCAAAATGAACTGAGAAGTATAGTGCTTGACCCTTACTAAGTGATCCATTCGTAATCGAGAATGAAGGTTTGCAGACCGTCTGAATGGCCACTGTAATATGAGAGATATGTCTGAGTCCTCCTCATGAAGTTTAAACTGATAGCCCTGACAAGGCACCTCGCTGGAGGATGTTATGGCTGTGAGGCATCGTTTGGTAATTGCACAACAGAAAAGCAGCCAGATAAATGAATAAAGGATGAATAAGAATGAATACTTGTCTGAGCGAATTCAGGAGATCCCAAAGATCTTATCTGGTTCATGATTACACATCCTTTGAGACTAATATTGAGTAAATATTCCATATTGTGTGTCAGGATAGATAAAGTTGTTGGCAAATGTAGTATTCCATTAAGTTTAATTTACAATGTATGCATTTATTTGCCGTTTGTTTTTGGGTTATTGTTGGTTATTTGGTTTTGTTTTATTTTATTTTGTTTTGCGTGATACCATTGACTACTTAAGGCTGTAACTAGCATACTTCTGTATTTCAGTTTTTCCATGATCTCTTTCATGGTATGGAAGCCCGTTTCCGCCACTCAATAAAAAATAAAAAAAGGTCAATGCAGTTTTAATCTCACAATTCTGACTTATTTTCCTTGCAATTGCGAGTTTACATCTTGCAATTCTGACTTTTTTTCTCAGAATTGAGTGATATAAACTCACAATTGCGAGAAAAAAACTCAGAAATAGTCAGAATCGTGAGAACTCGGCATTCTGACTTTTTTCTTGCAAATATGCATTTGTATCTCGCAATTTTGACTTTTTTTTCAGAATTGAGTGATATAACCTCGCAATTGCGAGAAAAAAAACAGTAGAAAAAAACTCAGAAATAAAGTCAGAATCATGAGATAACTCGCAATTCTGACTTTTTTTCCCAGAATTGAGTGATATAAACTCGCAATTGTGAGAAAAAAACTCAGAAATAAAGTCAGAATCATGAGATAACTCGCAATTCTGACTTTTTTTCCCAGAATTGAGTGATATAAACTCGCAATTGTGAGAAAAAAACTCAGAAATAGTCAGAATCGTGAGAACTCGCCATTCTGACTTTTTTCTTGCAAATATGCATTTGTATCTCGCAATTTTGACTTTTTTCTCATAATTGAGTGATATAAACTCGCAATTGTGAGAAAAAAACTCAGAAATAAAGTCAGAATCATGAGATAACTCGCAATTCTGACTTTTTTTCTTCCACATATGTGTTTGTATCTCACAATTTTGACTTTTTTTTTACAGAATTGAGTGATATAAACCCGCAATTGCGAGACAAAAACTCAGAAATAGCCAGAATCGTGAGATAACTCGCCATTCTGAATTTTTTCTTGCAAATATGCGTTTGTATCTCGCAATTTTGACTTTTTTTCTCATAATTGAGTGATATAAACTCGCAATTGCAAGAAAAAAAACAGTAGAAAAAAACTCTGAAATAAAGTCAGGATCGTGAGAACTCACAATTCTGACTTTTTTCTTGCAAATATGCATTCTGTGTCGCAATTTTGACTTTTTTTCTCAGAATTGAGTGATATAAACTCACAATTGCGAGAAAAAAACTCAGAAATAGTCAGAATCGTGAGAACTCGCCATTCTGACTTTTTTCTTGCAAATATGCGTTTGTATCTCGCAATTTTGACTTTTTTTTCAGAATTGAGTGATATAACCTCGCAATTGCGAGAAAAAAAACAGTAGAAAAAAACTCAGAAATAAAGTCAGGATCGTGAGATGAAAACTCTCCATTCTGAATTTTTTTTGCAAATATGCGTTTGTATCTCGCAATTTTGACTTTTTTTTCAGAATTGAGTGATATAACCTCGCAATTGCGAGAAAAAAAACAGTAGAAAAAAACTCAGAAATAAAGTCAGGATCGTGAGATGACAACTCTCCATTCTGACTTTTTTCTTGCAAATATGCATTTGTATCTCGCAATTTTGACTTTTTTCTCATAATTGAGTGATATAAACTCGCAATTGCGAGAAAAAAACTCAGAAATAAAGTCAGAATCATGAGATAACTCGCAATTCTGACTTTTTTTCTTCCACATATATTTGTATCTCACAATTTTGACTTTTTTTTTACAGAATTGAGTGTTATAAACTCGCAATTGCGAGACAAAAACTCAGAAATAGCCAGAATCGTGAGATAACTCGCCATTCTGAATTTTTTCTTGCAAATATGCGTTTGTATCTCGCAATTTTGACTTTTTTTCTCATAATTGAGTGATATAAACTCGCAATTGCAAGAAAAAAACAGTAGAAAAAAACTCAGAAATAGCCAGAATCGTGAGATAACTCACAATTCTGACTTTTTTCTTGCAAATATGCATTCTATGTCGAAATTTTGACT